CAGAACATTTACTCAGCAGACATTGCTGCTCTTCCTCCGTGTGTGTGTTTGTGCGTGTGTGTGTGTGTGTGTGTGTTGTAGACCGACCTTCTCTTTGCTCTGTTAATAGACAAAACCCATTTCAGAGTCCTTTGTTGTCCCACCGGACACTTGTTGCATGTGGTCGCTCACGCCGTCGACTCGTCTGAAGGCCACATGTGTAACGGTAACTTTCAATCCCGTCTCTGCACTTGTTGAGGTTGGATTATAGCATTTATTTACAGCCCACTGGGTTCCAACGCCCTCAGTGCCTCTGGGAGGAAACGCCGACGTGCCACGCTGGGGTGTAAACAAAGCCAAACAACAACACATCTCCGGTTCGCCGTCGCTTCAGGTTCGGCTTCAAAACACCGATTTTAACAGGATCGAGTGTGCGGCCTGCAAGGTGGCTTAAAAAGAGTGTTTATTCTCAAATGTTTTGACTCCATTTGTTTTGGCTGCACGGAGGTGAGCAGACATCCAGCAACAGGGAGTGAAGTTAGTAGTGGGGACAGTGGAGGAAGAGGGGGGACGGGGGGGCAAATGGCTGCTGTGAAGGATTTAGTAGGGGTGCTGGGACTTTGTAGGATCAAACCACACACACACACACACGTATAAACTGCGTGAAATAGAGACCCGAGCAGTGTCCATTCTGCGTGTTTATAAGCTGTAGACTCAATCACAGTGACAGAGACCAGACCTTTGCCCCCGAAACCCGGCACTGTCCCACAATGCCCTGCTGCCCTACAGTGCTGACGAGTGAAGACACACACACACACACACACACACACACACAGACACACAGCGTTTTTATCAGTGCATCCGATCACCAGGCCACGAGTGCGGCCAGAGGTTGCGACAGAGGTTAAAAAAGTGCCGTACTGTAGCGGCGCACACAAACACACTCGGGCTGCAGCTGCGCCGCGTCTCACTTACTTCCGACAGGCCACTTTGGGCACTCGGCCAATTCAAGTTCAAGCCGATGCAACTTAAGCAACGGTGCGTGTGTCTTTTTTTCAGGCCGCCCGTTAAGAGCAAGCCGTGGTCGGTGTGCTTGGCGGCGTCTCTGCAGTCGGCCCCCTTTCACTGCTGTGTTTCCCTCCGTTGCCTCTTTCCCACGGCTGATCCGCTACTGACCTCCATCTATCTGTCTCTGGCTTGTCCGCCTGTCCTTTACAAACGGCTTTCAGGAAACCGTTAAATAGAGAAAGATCGGAAAGACCATTTATTTTTGTGTAATCACTTTGCTGCTTGTGTTCGTTTGATCCAACAGCTCCTCAGAATACCCGGTTCTTCCTATTTCCCGCTGGTTTCTGCGCTGAGGACACAAAGTCAAGGACGCACGTACACAAATGTATCGGCCTTCCGTCCACGTGGATCTTTGATACCTAAAGTCTTACACCCGAAACTGTAAGACCGGACATAAATCTCAAAACGGCCTTGTTGTCTGGACTTTTGGGAGACTGTGACCGGGTCGGGGGGGGGGAGGGGAGGGGGTGTTGCAGCGTATTTTGTTGCCTCTTAAAGGGGTCAGTATGATCAGTATGATTCTTCTCACCTGCGCAAAAATTATTTGTGGCGAATTGTGGAATGTGGAACCAGCACGTTTTCCTTTCTCCGGGCTAACACAACGTCCAACACAACATGGCAGGTTTGTGATTGTCAAAACAGTTTAGCGTGCGCGCTTAAACCCCCCAATCGGGTGGTTGGTTTCCACCTGTGCGGGTCAGTCGCGCTGCACCTTTTCTACAGAATTCATGCCGAGTTGGAGGAAGCCAGAGAGGTTGAAGCCTTTGTTTTGCTTTTTTTTTTTTGCATTGGTTTCTAATTGGCTCGTCTCACCGTGTCTCATCCTCTCCCGCTTTGATTGAAAACCTGTTGTTGAGAATAAACAAAAGAAATATTTGACATTTCACAGATTCTGACATTCACCGACGCGTCGACCCAATTTACCGTCCCGTCCACAGATATTGTGAAATCCAATAGATTTCCCCACAGATGCACACACTTGTAAGGATAATGTGTGCACACATTCCAGGGACCAAATACACTCCATCTCCCTCACGCAGCAGTACAAGACTTCCAGGTCATTAACCGAAACTGTGACAGAAAATCTGTCTTATTCTGGAGGATCGCTGCTTGCCTCCCACTGGATGTTCCTGCCACTGAATATCAAAGGATTGTAGCGTTTTTGAAATATAATTTTAGATGCACACTCCCATAAACATCTTCATAATTCTCTATTATTGCCTGGTGTTTCCGTCACATATCCGCCCCCCCCTCTCCCATATGCTTTCTCCACTCCCTTATTGTACTTTCTGCAACCTTTCTTTCAGTTGTTTTACTTTGATTTTTCTTCTTTTTTTTGGAGCTACTTGAACTGAGGCGGAAACCAACTTGTACACGAGTGTGTTTGCGAATGTGTGTGTGTGTGTGTGTGTGTGTGTGTGTGTGTGTGTGTGTGTGTGTGTTGGGGGAGTACGGCTGTGATAAAGGACAGGGAACTGGAGGGCTTCGACATAGATGGATGATGTTTTTCTCACCCCGAGCCTCACTCTGAGATTACAGTTTCTCATTGTGTTCTTTGCAGCCTCCAAGAAACTACTTTCTGTCTTATTTCTTGTTTTTATTTCATTTTTTTTAACCACAAGAGAATACAAGTGGAATGTTTTTTCCAATAAATAGGCAAATATTTTCGTCCCTTGTTGTCAGTAGGCCAATTCCAATTGTTTGACAGAGGCTTCTTAAATGTCAAACGGAAAACTGAATATAGCTTTCGTTTTGTGAAACACTGACACCTTCCAAACGTGAACATGAGACATCTAAGCTGCGGCTTGGATACTGTACTTAAATAAACCCCCTTTAGTGGCCCGCTATGCCAACTCATGCTCTTGACACCGATGCAGGCTGTGAAGGTTTGCTCAGCAGCACCTTAAAGAATCACCAGCGTCTCCGTCATCACGGATACAATATTCATTTTGCCCCAGAAGGAAATCCCCATCGCAGCAACACACGCATCCGAATGTGTCTGTGTGCATACGTGTGTGTGTGTGTGTGTGTGTGTGTGTGTGTGTGTGTGTGTGTGTGTGTGTGTGTGTGAGAGAGGGAGAATTGATAATGGCCCGAGGCATCAGGTGTCCCCCAGTGTGGCCCCGTGAGCAGCATCTGGAACCCGTCCCTCTGTGGTGACATCATAAAACCAGCCTAACCTTTGACCTCACACCGGCTAATTAGCAGAGTTGTCCTTCCATAACTGCCCCCCCCCCCCACCACCTTCTCCACCTGTTGGTTCACGTTACTGTGCGACTGGAGGACAAACGGCCACTGAGAAGGTTTCTCTAAACACTTACTTGTACATTTTCTGGCCCCCCTCCCCTCCCCCCCCACCCCGTTCCCATGAAGAGCCGTAACCTTTTGCAAGTCGCTCCGCTGACATTACGCGGAGGTTTGTGTTTTATCGGCGCGCCCGGGGGGGAGAAAAAGGGATGCGCTCTTTTGCTGTGAGCTAGTTTAGTTTGCCTCTCACTCCCTGACTCCCTCTGTTGTTCTCTGGTGGTTCCATGTATCTCGGAGGTGATCATCAATCTAGCAGACTCTATTATTACTTTTTCACAAAGTGCTTTGATTTTCCAGCCCACCCAGGAGATTGATCCCCCGCCTTCCTCTCTTTGTTCTCCCACCGTCCCATCACCCATATTCCTCTCCCTCTTCTCCGGTCTGCTACGTGCAGCACCATCTATCCCTTTATTTTATTGGAATACCAATCAGAGCTTATTTACAAAGTGCTTTCTCCTCTTTCGGAATTGTTGGATTATTTCAAGATGTCACCAATTTCCAACTGGAAATTAAACTCCACGTTAAGAGCCCTCCTGTGTTGTGTCAATTCTAGTGGTTAAAATGTAGTGCTGGTGCCTATTTGGATGGCCTGTGACACCGGAAGCAGAGGGGTTAAAGGCCAGCTCTCAGGAGACACCCCTCTCATCCGCGCACACGCTTCAGCTGTGGATGTGTTAAGACATAAGCCCTCACACACACACACACACACACACACACAAAAGCCGGCCTCCCGGCAAGAGAGATCTTCATGTAGATAAATGTTTATATATATATAAAAAAAGAAGTCTGCATGCACATGAATGCCGTCCGTATATCTGTGGTGGAACGCAATGTTTTCCACTTAGAGCAGCAGCTCCGGGGACTCTTTGGTTGGACTTGGCCCCTGAGTGGAACCGGGCATGGAGCATCGGTGTGGAATGATGTGGAAGGCCAAACAGGGGATTGTGGGTGCCGGGTGTCCATTACATCAGAGGGGACCAAGGCGCCAGTTTGCCATTTGAGACGTGACACCCCCTTGTCCTTGCACTTTATCCCGTTAACTGGCAAGATGTGCTGAAAGTTACGTGGGCCCTCGAGTGGGACGGGATAAAAGCAAATACTTTGGAATTTTAATTGTCAGGTTGAGTCTCTGAGAATTAAACATATTGATTCATGATTAATGTAAAAGTGAAAATGCCCCACTTATTAAGAAGCAGCGGCAGTTTTTTTTTAAGATAACAGAAAACAAGATATTCACATTTGGGATGTCTCCCTCCAATTTCAAGATTATGAAAATAAAACATCAATAAAATTAAAGTTCCCCCTCAAAGTTTGGGGGGAAATGGTTGCAATGGTGATTTTTATCTGATGCATCAAAAAGGGACATTGCCACCACTTCAAAAATGAATTACCACCCCAACTATTTGTTTTGCATTACTTCAGTAATATTGGTAACCACGTCAGATGGGCCACCGAGGCAATATTAAATATTATTATTATTAAATATTATTAATTAACCATCTTTCTGCACTTTTATGCACAATGGAATAAACTAGTCGGCTCTCTTGGGGTCCTGGAACCCTTAGAGGACCAACCTGCACCAGTGTCTCCTCCCAGCATGAGGTAACGCCCTCTCTGGCCACATGAAGATATAAAGTCCGTTCCTGTCCCCCCCCCCTCCCACTTTCTTCACGTTGATGAACACATCTCCAAGGCGTGTGTTCGGTTGCCCTGTTCCGTCCTTGTCCAGCCTCGGCGTCCTGCTCCCATGCTTTGAGTCCGCTCCGGTTGGAGACAGTTCACCATGTCCACCGGGTCTCTCAGCGATGTCGACGACGAGCTCCTGGACGGCATCCTTAAGTTTGGCTCCTCCGGCAAAGACTCCAACGAGAGCACGGAGGAGAGCTCCAACTGCGAGGGCGCCGGCGCAAACGACGCGCCGGGCAAGAAACGGAAGACAGCGTCCCGGAAAACGGCACCCAAGGGTGTGGCGCAGCAGGAGGGCAAGCACGGACAGAGAAACGCGGCCAACGCCCGGGAGAGAGCCAGGATGCGCGTCCTGTCCAAAGCATTCTCCCGCCTGAAGACGACCTTGCCCTGGGTACCGGCGGACACCAAGCTCTCCAAACTGGACACACTGCGCCTGGCGTCCAGTTACATCGCGCACCTCCGGCAGATATTGGCCAATGACAAATATGAAAACGGATATATCCACCCCGTTAACCTGGTGAGCACGAGGGTTAAAGTGTGGGAGGGGTGGGGGACCCAGATGGAAGTTTGAGTGACGTTTAGATGAATCGGATTTTTGTTTTAAATACTTATGACCGTGTGTCTTCATAATGTTCCCTGAGACTTAGATTTATGAGGATTCCAACAGACTCCTGACTACGAACCACGGTGATAGTTTAGTGAAGCAGGTGCATGAGAGGGGAAAACAATTAATATGTATACTGACTGTATAACCAGGAATCCGAAGTATATTGCGAATTAAAATACCAGCTGCAGTAACACTGGACCTTAAATTACTTAATTAAAATATAGTTTTTATTTTAATTCTGCAATATAAAATATCACAGCCTAGAAGACCACCTTTTAAAAAGACCCCTTTGAAATGACATATGGGACCAAACAAACATAAGATGCATTTAAATGGGTTATACCATTCTTAATGCAATGCATAAACATCTGGCGCTATCCATTCCTGCCTGGAATCCATTATGTTCATCCTGAAGGTGATTGTTCGTCACATAATTGACCTTATCTTTTGCTTAACATGGTTTTGACTGCTTGACGCATTAGCATTCCAGTGGGTACTGACTGATTGTGTCCCCCCCGCAGACGTGGCCCTTCATGGTGGCAGGTAAGCCGGAAAACGACTTGAAGGAGATGCTGAACACGACGAGGTTGTGTGGAACGACGGCCTCATAACGAAACCCGGCGGACACACCCGTGCGTTTTTTTTTTTTCAAGGGACCATAAGTATCCAAGGCCGAAAAAAAAAAAAGATTGTGACGGACTTGAACGTCTCATCTCGGCCGCCTTTGAGTGGGAATAACGGAGAGACGTCTCCTTCGTTCCCGTAATGACAAGTTCAATTTTATTTAAATGCATTCTGTCACCTAACGTTGTCTTTGCTGGTTCAAAGATCAACTGCGTGCTTTTTTTTGGTTATACAGCGCAGATGCATTTTTTACTCATGCGGGCCTTTTTTTTTGGCAGCTGCATTATGATGGATGGATGTGCACATGAAACGCGTCCACTTCCTCAAATTGTACAGATTACATGTGTATAAAATATATTTGTATCACTTTTACACCTTGTGGTTTTCTTTTTATTCGGTTTGATTTCCCTGTGTGGGCCGACGCTGTGACCCAGTAACCCCTGTTATCACTTCACTCCTTCAGAATAGCAGAACCCGAGCTGCGACCAAGCGGCAGTGCAGATAAGTCTCTCTCTGTTGTTTCTAACAGATAACAGTGGACGCGGTTGTCAGTGCATAAACACACTTTTCCCTCCAAATACTATTTGGAACTTTAAAAGCAGTTATTGCTCTGCTGCTTTAGTCAAATTAAAAGTATCTTTCTGCCCCTTTTCATTTATAAACGCGGTTGACGAAACGGTGCAAAATCTATAAATAACGAATACTAGTTTCCTTTCACTTTCAAATGTACAGATATATGTTAAGGCCATACGCTCTATAGCTTTATGTGAGGCCAGCAGCACACAACACACGTGCATCTAAAGAACATCCAACGTTGTGTTAATTGTAACGGATGCGCCCTGATTGGATATCGGCTATTTTAGATTCAGCCAATCAGAAGTAAAGAGCTCAGCGGCGCGAATTTGTTTGAGGTCAGACGACGTTTTACACGTTTTAAAAATATTCAAAAGCCTGCGGGCAGAGCTTTGATCGCGCGTAGAAGAGTTGTTTTAATTCGCCCGGGTTATGACCGCTATGTTTACATCATGGAGGCAGTTATTGATGTAGTCTGACACGTGGCAAGACCTTTTCTTTCGTTCTTTTTTTCTACCCAGATTCCCTCTCGTTTTACCCCCCTATCTGTATTTATAGATATATCTATATATCTATTTTAAAAAACATAGCGGAAAAAATGCATCCCACTCTAAAGGCCATGTTCCAATATCACACTTTGTACTATTTTAAATATGAGCAAAATTGTATTGTATTGGTTAGTTTAATATACTTAGCCTACTTATTGTTTTTTTTTTATTCTATAAAATTCCATTATATTTCAGAGATACATACTGCTCCACTATTTACATATTGTTCAGCCAGATTCTTTCATGTGTTAATTAGATCTGACACATGGTCATAGATCAAAATGAGGCAGAGGCTGTGGCCAGGATTATACTAATTATAGTGAGAAAACATGTTTCATTATATTTTTTAAATACCTCCATATAATCATCCAAAATAACCCCGGGGTATTAGTTTGGTTCAGTACAAAAGGCTTTAGATAGAAAAACCTACAAATTCAGAGGAAAAAAATCCCAAAACATGACCTCCGTGACCTCAGTGGTCGCTTCTAATGACCTGATAATCCTTCCCTGATTGTATTTTAAGAAATGACAAATGTTACAATGGTCACATGGTCCTGACCAAGATATATTGAGGTAAGTTCTGAGGCTGCTGATTTAGCTTCACCCGTCACTAGTTTTCAGGGACTAACCGGAGAGATGTGGACGACTCAAAATCACACTTACTTGTTTACTTTCCCTGTATGTGAAAAGGGCAGCACCGTATCCTTTAACAAGGACGATAGGACTGAGTGCTGTTGCAATAAAAGAGTCCAACCAACGTCTCTTCAAGGACCCTCACCTAATACATCAGCGGCGGCGTGGCAGGGGCCTCGCCGCCACCTCAAAGGGACCACCGTGGAGAAAATAAACTTGGCCTCCTCTCCCTTGGGGCCAGCTGCAGAGAGCGAGAGAGGGAGGAGACTGCATGAGAGCAGGGCCGGGATTCCCATACTTGCTAATTGTTTCGTTGGACGGCTGCCCAAAACTGTGATGTGACGGACTGAAGAGGAGGAGAGAAATCACATCGCGTTCCAGCGCATGCCCTCATGTTTCCTCTCCACCCGCAGATCACTTACTTTATATCGCCGTGGCTGGTTTTCAGGGGTGATAGTGCGGTGTTAGAAGTGTGAAGGCCGTAATCAACAGTTTACACTGTTGCATTCCGACTTCTCTCTCTGTCCGTTGGACTGAGGAGCCAATAAAGAGATGCATCATGCTTTGACAGCTATATACAGCTATCTCATCAAGTGTTCTGCAAAAAGAAAAAACTCCCTTTTTTGTATGTTACATCACTGGATAGTGTAGAGCTCACTGTCATCCCCAAGGGGCTCACAACCCCCTGTGCTTGTAGCATCCTTAGACTGCCACCTTCTGGTCAAAGTATAACGTGTTCTTGGGAACATCTTTGGACCCAACAATACAACTTCAGGCATCCCTATAAGATCCCCAATGAGTGTTAAACGAATACATATTGTCATATATTCTTACACTGACTTTTAGTGACCTACGAGTCTTCTCAAAACACGGTAATCCATGATCGTATTTTGCATTTATTTCATTTTTATAGGGTATTGGCTTTGCAAAGGCTAGAAGCCCGCTGTGATTCTCTACATTATAATGAATTGAATGTTCTTCTCTGGGAGTTACTTCGAGGATCTCCTGTTTACCTCCATCGCCCTCCACCTGTGTGATCACATACGGTAAATCTAAAACCGTGAACTCTTTTCATCAGATTCAGGCAACAAGGTCCCACTGTGAACATGTGTTGGATTTGATTCAATTACACATTTTCTCTTGAATGAATGAATAAACAAAAGGGAATTGATAAAATGTTAAATGGGTATAAATATACTTTCCATTCCATCTTTGTTGTTCCTTTTTATCACTTCGCTTCAACATTAAGTACGACCTTGTCGGCCTATCGCTGTTCCAAGTTAACAACATTAGTGTGTGTACTGGTTTGTGTATGTCGAGAAGTATAAAATGACAGTAAAAGCATTTATCCCAGTGACTTGACATTACGTGACATTTTACCAAAAGATTACAGCTTCACAATAACAGGCGTTGTTTAGGTGTTGGGACTGGTTGGGATTCAAGAATGAATAAAAATACATTATCACCAGTTGCTCCTCAAACTCAGACCAACATTATTATCGTTTAGTCACTTTGAAATGACACAAAGACACAATTTAAATGCACTATACATATCAACAGACCATTGTCCGATAACCTATTCACTCACGTTCCAAAAGCAGAAAGAATTGTTATAAATATCTGTCATCACCCTGCTAAGAGCATGTATACCAATAGATGGCAGCAGAGGATTCCCTATAATAAAAACGTGTGAACGTCAATAAAAGCAATGAGCGCAATGGATCCATGAGGGATTATGGACACTGAGACAATGACGAGGTGCAGACATTACTGGAGAAGAGGTAGCGGAGTAGCAACAAAGCATCACTGAACACCAAGTGTTTTGGTAAAATAGTGCTGACCGCTGTGGCCGGTCTTTCTCTTCATGCGATTAGAGCATAAAACATCCTAAATGTTGGATCTTAATGTGTGGCTTAAGAGTACACAAAGCCCAAAACTCATCATGCATTAGAAAGAAAAAAGGCCAGATATACTGACATCATTGGGGTTGAGGAACAGCTGCTCGGGGCTCATGGCAGCCTGCGGCCTGGCACAGCAGCCACGAGAGAGCAGGAGATACCAAAGATAGTTAAGGCCTAACCAGATCACCCACCCGTGTTTATGGGAACACTCACATGTGCGTGAGCGCGTGCGTGCGGGTGGGTGAGATTGTTGGCATCAGTTTGTGCTTATTAAAAGGAGCACAGCAGGTGTCGTGAGTCTTGTGGGCTTTGCGTCATCCGGTAAACTATTCGTCCGTGTCTCCTTCCTTCTTTTTGTTGCAGAAAGCCATCCGACCCCCTGCGGAGCACACTTCTAATTATTCCCTGACACCCCCGCTCACAAGGTGTGACAGAAAAGGACGTCTACAGCAATACATCGTGGCGTGCCTGAACCAATGCTTTCACACTTTATATTATACGTGTACGAATTACTTCCTCGGTTTACTGCGTTTTGACCTTTTGCTAGTTTATCTACGCACGAGGTGCCAAACAACAGCCCCACAAATTGTGTGAGAACAGAGGTCACAAATTAATTTCTTCTTATAATGACGGCTCTATCTTTATATCTTCATCAACCGTTCTCCTCCCCCTAAGCCATTTACAGCACGAAACAACACAACAACAGGACGATACATTTCACTGTGAAATGCCTTAAAGCACCAAACTGATTTATGAAGCCTGAAGTACATTCAGCAGACTGTGAAGGAATTTGTGAACACGGTGATAACGTTACAACAAGTAAAACCACCCTGTGGGACTAATCACCCAGAAGCCCCCATTTTTACAAGACAGGGCACAAGAAAACCAGCCAAACAACAAAGGGCCACTCTATTTCCCATTGTTATAAAGCGAATAATGTTCTACATCGTGGTTGGTTGCCTGCACAGTGGAGCCTTGAACTTCTAAGCTAATATAAAACAATATTGTAATTGGATGGTTTAAGGCCTAGAGAGTGCGGATAGTCAAATGTAATTTGGGATCAAAGAACATAGAAAGAGCAGCGGAGGTCATGCATACACACAGACATTCCACGCACACACGTGCACGCACCACGCACGCTGTAAGAGCCTTGTTAGTAGAAGGAAGAGGCGCCGGACTAAATGATGTTTTCCCAGGTGGGCACAATTACCTGTGCGTGGAGTGCGTCTGCGTGTGTTGCCACGGGCGCGCGCACACGGGCCTTTCGCGCACGTGTGTGCATAGGAATTACCCGCATGTTGTTTTAAGAGGGATTCGGGTCTGTCGCAATTTAGGAAAACACGAATCAAAGTTCGACCCACGGATCCCCACGGGCCCACTCACGGGCAGAGGAACCGTCAGCTGAGAGTCAGACAGCGTCCTCGTGCGTTTTCTTCATAGGACCACTTGGAATAACACCGCGCAGACAACTGGGATATTGAACAAGCGGCTATTCATCAGAGCAGAGCGCTCACAAAGCCAGAGGCAGCGCGCGCGGGGGGGTCACTGCGTAGTGGAGCAGGACCACGAGGCCGATCCGTGTGCCGGTCTGCGTATTTGGACAAAAAGAAAACCACGGTGTTTGCGTGGAGGCCTGTGGCTACACCTGCCGCATAGCGCGTACCAAGCTGCGCGCGGCCTTGTGCGTGCGCACCGGTTGAGCCGGCGAACGTT